AAATGTCACACCTGAATGCTCACATCCTTTTAATTATGTTTGAAATTATGAACATTGCTCAACATCATGAAAATTAAACCTTATTTTCAATAAGCAATCCTGAAAAATATTTGGTGGTGCTTAACTTTTTTCCAGGTGTATATAAAACAAAATTACCAAATATCAATTTTGTGTGTGTGTGTGTGTGTGTGTCAGGTGATGCAACATCTTCTGCTTTTGCTCAGATTGTATTGTGGGCATCATAAAATGTAAGGTCTGCAGTTTTTAGTGAATTAGAAATTCAAATTACCAATATTGACAAGCTACAGTATAAAATAAGAACCTCCTACCTTTTAATATTATACTTAGCAAACCCACCACAGTAACCGCACCCACCTCTTTCACTTTTTGAAAATACTTTTTACTTATGCCTACTTCTCTTGAGTACATGTTTATAACCAATTGAAAGTGCTCATTTTGAACTACATAATCCTGTAAGTCTCCCTAATGTATTTGTATGGTAAAGCCATTATAACTGTTTGAAGAATGGTAATCAAGGTGATATGCTGATCAGAAATAAAAAACTTTTAGACCCAAATACAGATTAAGAAGCCTGGTAAATTAAAGTGGAATTTTGTGATCTCAGCATAGTAACGTATTTTGGGTTATTTTAAAATGCATATATAAAACCTACAAAAATCATGTTTTTACATCCTCCACTCAAGAAACTTGACAAGGTTCAGGAAGTACAGTGCATGAGTACAAAAATTTTGTAGCATTGTAAGTAGTAGAGATCATTGTTTTCTATGTATTTTTAGCTGCGGCATGGCGGCTCATAGAGTGGCTTTGAGTTTTCAAGTGCAAACTTTAAGCTTGTAGCTCCATCATCTATTTACCGATTTGAGATCTAATTACAGTTTTGGACTCAGGAGGTCAAACCCTTTTGATTGATGTACTTGATCATGCCCAAGGTCTCATAGATTAATTAATTTTAATCCTTCCTAAAAGAATTTCCATTTGAGGATAAAGCTGGTAGAAATCCTAATGACTAATAAAATAAAATCAAGTTTATGTGCACCCAATTTTTGGTATTATTGGTGCACAAAAATATAGATAATAAAAAGGAAAAAAAGGTTTCGTAGATTGATTTATCCTTATCCTGCCTAAAAGAATTTCAAGTGCCATAGCTATTAAGGATTCTGTCTTGTTTATTCACTTTTCTATATTTGAATGGAAATAACTGAAATTTAAGGATTTATTTGTAAATAGTAACACACACATGTGCACACACACACACACACACACACACACATACATACATACATACATACATACATACATACATATGTAATTCACTATTCTACCAAAAGTCATGGGAAACATCTCTGATTGCAGGAAAATGGGTGTGATGATGAAATGTTCAAGTAGTTTGGCCTATAAAGGTGATCAGCAGTTCACTCAGAAGTCATTTTGAACATGTATGCCCAATGATGAATACATGGAAAGATCTAACTGGATGTCATTTGGGGAAAGTGTCTGTATGTGCTATTGCACGATAATTGGCGATGTGCTGAAGAAATGGAAGTCCACAGGTGACAGTGAGCCCAAGAAACGACCAGGTAGGCATAAAATACTGACTGACAGGAGTCGACGTGCCTTGAGAAGGCTGGTTACCTCATCTCGCCTTCAGACCCTAGAGAATCTGTGTTTGGAGATTTGAGAAGCCACAGACAATCCTATAAGTGTTTCTACAACACGTCGAGAGCTATTGCACGATAATTGGCGATGTGCTGAAGAAATGGAAGTCCACAGGTGACAGTGAGCCCAAGAAACGACCAGGTAGGCATAAAATACTGACTGACAGGAGTCGACGTGCCTTGAGAAGGCTGGTTACCTCATCTCGCCTTCAGACCCTAGAGAATCTGTGTTTGGAGATTTGAGAAGCCACAGACAATCCTATAAGTGTTTCTACAACACGTCGAGAGCTGCGTGCCACGAAATGTCATGGGAGAGCTGCAGCCCACAAA